TACATTAACTAATTAGCTTTGATGGTTTGTTAACAAGCTGTAATAGCATTTACATGCTTCAGCGACATAGTCTTGTTTAAACATCAAGCTCTAGCAAATATGACCTGTAAATAGCGTAAATATACATTGACTAACAATGCGATCAAGGACTAAATAGTTATCTGGATCTAATTCTCAGTGTTCCTTCACTTAACACCTCATCCTGTTTTAAACGATGCACTATCCTGTAATATCTTTTCTTCCGACCACTGCCTGCCTAATTTCAAATTTTCGAGTTCCATTGCCAAACAACAAGGATGACACTTCTCTAAAAATATACGGTGAGTTTCAGCCATAAGTTTTCTGCAATCATAAGGTCATTTTAGATGGCTCGTTCAATGGTGACCGCACAATTATCTGAATTCATTCGGTTGTTCTAATCCGAGCGAGTGGCAAAAACGTCAACAGCATCAAGCACCCTGGGATTAATTGCCATACTGCATGTTTTATTCTGGATACTTTTGGATCATTACTACTCCTCACGAATGGCGTTATATATGTTGTCCACTGAATAATCTAATTTTCAAAAATAACCCAGGCGAGTTCAACTATTTTACTTAATGATTTTTTTTACTTAACAAGTATATGTTTTCCAGTTGCTCTTGTCATATATTTGTAAGTGTCCCTAGGCTAAATGCGGTTAATAACGCGTCATATTCCTGCCTGAAGTTTCATAAGCAGTCTTAACTTCGAAATTATTTATCTGGTCATGTTCATCATTTTTAAATTGTCATATACGTCAACAACCTGCTTGTTAACCTGGCCCGCACATACGTTACACTATATCTTCATGTCTTCTAAATTTAGGAATCATCTGAATCGCCTTTAACATTTATCAATAAACCCATCATAGTCGTTGTTGCTAATCATATTTGAGTTTATGGATTGGTTTATCATATTAGCAGCCTAAAATGCGAACATAGTTTAGATAATAAGATTAAAAATTTAGGTACTATCAACTGCACTAGTAAAATAACTAAATCCTCAGGTAGCTGTTAGCTAAACAAACGTTTAAAATCAATACTCCGTAGCCTACTAGAATTAACACTAAACGAATCTTTCTGAATTAAAATTTATAATTAAATTAGGCGTCTCGGATTCTTTAACGTTATAAATTTCTGATGATTTCGAATCACCTAAAGCAACAATACCTATTTTTCCACTGACTAATCCTCAATCACCACTATAACTAGCTAAACGTAATAGTTTCAGGATATCGTCATAAAGCATTGTCATGACTTGATAATCACGTAATATGATTGATAAAATTAATGAAACTATTAACAAAATCGGTCATCAAATCGACTTATAATTATCACTAGTGTTGTTTTTCTTTTATCTTCATTCACTACAGATGATTACAGTATGTTTCTCTATCGGTTGCTTATTCAGTAAATATCTCAAAACCTTGTCAGTCTAATTGGAGGTTTAGCGACACAATCATGCATGCAAATAATCAGTATAAGCAGTCGAGCAAATCTCCTGCAAACTGAAAACATCAATGTCGAATTTACCCCAACACTGACTAAGGTTCAAGCCAATATCATAGACATGAGTTGGGAGTGTACTCCCCTTGGTTACAACTTATGTACTCCCTGATAATCACATGAGCATCACTCACGGTTAATCATCTTGTAAAAGCGTATTTGGCCGAGTACATCTTACAGCACCACATCACTTAGTAATGTGACACAGGCTTAACTGATTTCAGTAACTTATAATCACCATATCTCAATTAAATCGTATTCCGCCTTATGATAAACTGCATACTTGCCACTAACTTGTATGCCCAATCAGCCAGCAAGTATAAATATAAATAAATAGTCTATTGCAGATCAGAACATTGAGTCCAGAGCATGTCTCTTACGAATACACTCATGTTTAACGATTTGTCCCTAGCTATCTGTCCAAAATTCATATAATTATCACTCATGTATTTAAATTTTATTTTGATAACCATTCATGTGTATTAGTAGTATTACTAAATTCTATCACGGTCAAGTAAAAATGAGGTTGAGAAAATCTCCCCGTAACTAAATAAACCGTATCAAACTAGCTGGAACACTAGTTGGAATTCTTCTCCACGGTATACTTTTGTTCCTTCAGTTAGCCTACTAATACAGATGCATTTGGGATTCAACTCATATGGACAACTTACCGGCATAATCGTTATTTGATTTCATAGTTTAAACCAAAACTAATACCAATATTAACATTTCTACAATATTCATTACTTTAATATTTCTAAACACAAAATAATTACTGCCTATAAGTCAAGTTATTAACACGCATCGTTTTATTATTATTATTATTGTTATTATTATTATTGTTATTATTATTATTATTATTATTATTGTAATCCCATTTTTTATAGTTCAAATTATCTTCAACCAAATTTTCATTTTAAGCGTGTTAATCATGAAAGCAGATATTTTAAGATTATTACATGTATTTCCCGACCAGATGCTGCCGTCTTTTTGATTTATCTTTCAGATTATCAATACCCGGAGGATCCTTATTATCCTTGGTAACCTCCGGCGCGCGACGATCCCATCCAATTTGGTATCGAACCAACATCACGTTGATTCTGGTGGGAGAGTAGTGTAGTGGCATTGGACAATAGCCACACAATCCACAAAGCTGTGAACACGAGACTACTCAGAAAATAGATATTCAATATTTAACTCGGGGAAATACCTAACAATGGAGAAGGCGCGAACAATGAATTGAATGGACTGGAGTTGATCGAGTGGCATGGCTCGTCCATGCAGGCGTGGTCCATCTCAGTGTTACTTTATATCTTCTATTCATATTAAATATATTGTTCTTTCTCTAGCCTAACCTTGTTCCTCATCATGTATTGGTAATTGATACGATACAGTGAGTTGGTGTAGTCGATGGTGTGACTTCCACGTAAGATCTTATAGATTAGGCAGTTATATCATGACAAATTGACAAGTTTAGGATTAGGTCTATTATTAGAGCAGTACTAATATCATAGTAGACCATAATTCTACAAGACCTCGAAAGACATCGTCTGTTAACCTTTGGAAGGTTTGTGCAGCGTTTCTTAGACCGAAAGGCACTCGCGAAAATTCATAGAGTCCGAAGGGAGTTATGACAGCAGTTTTCGGAATATCGTCAGAAGCCATAGGGATTTGGTTATACGCTTTAACCAAGCCAATTTTCGAAAAGATAGTTGTACCTTTCAACGTAGCTGTCAAATCGTGAATGTGGGGCAACGGGTAACGATCGGGAATGGTTTTTGCATTCAATCGCCGATAGTCACCAGTTGAACGCCAATCGTTGCTGTCCTTTTTAGGGACCATGTTCAACGGAGATGCATATGGGCTATTTGATGGTCATATGATTCCTAAGTCTATCATGTGGTCAAATTCATTTTTGGGCAACCTTAGCTTTTCCGGAGCTAGTCGTCGTGCTTTAGAGAATACAGGTGATCCTGTAGTCGTGATATGATATGTAGCGTTGCTGGTTACACATGGTAACTTCGTTTGCGTTTGGTGTATCCCAGGATACTTATCGAGTAGTAGTTGATAAAATGGGTCTGTCGTGTGCTTAATTGTGACTGGAGATAATCTGCAACCAGAAATAGGAGTTACGCAAACGGATAAATTAGCGTTTCCGTCTACTAGCCACCGTTTGCGCGTATCGATGATTAGATTATGGTGTTGTAGAAGGTCCATACCAATGATTGGCATAGAAACATCTGCAACAACGAAGATCCAGTGAATGGGTTAGCAGAAACCCACGTTAAGGTAAACGTACCTTTTACCGTACGTGGCGATAGGCCTTCCGTTTTCCGCCTATAGATTTAAAACCGATTCGTGAAGTCGGTCGTTGGAATTCGCTGGGAGAACGCTAACTTCTGCGCCAGTGTCGACGAGGTAGCGAATTCTCGTCATCATATTTGTGACGTATAACGGACGTCTGCATTCGCCGGCTACGGTTGCCGTTAACGTGTGCCGGCTTGGACGTTTGTCGAGTTGTTTTTCGTGTCGGCCGGTTTTGAGTTTGACAACGCTTTAACCAGTAACAAATTCCAATGTGAATCGTACCCACCAAGTGGAATCAAAATACAGAAGTGAGGAGGTTCGAAGATATATTTGATAGGCTATCAATATATCGAGGATCGTCTGATCTAATCTGGCTAGCGATTGTTGAACATGGCGTCCCCACCCGTGATGTGGTAAAGATGCATGGCCGAGCGCCTTCAGCTAGGTGAATCCATTAAAACTAATGTGGTCAGCATCCAATGTTGAAACCTTGCAGAGCTATTTATATTGGGGATTTATTTACCGCTACAGATTCTTCCTACTGAAGATGAAGTCGTAATTCGAACATCGTCCTTCATTCATTTTAAGTGCTTAGACTCATGAATGAACCTTTGTGATCTAAAAATGTCGGAGTTCGACAATGATTTTGTCTGCAACAGTTTTACAATCGAGGATCCCGAATCCAGTCGAAGCAAATGTCAAGAATCAAGCAGTTCGATGATGTTTCTACAAAAATAGTCAGTTTGTAAAGAAGTGGGTGAACTAATCCGGCTAGTTGTCGAAGGTGCTACTTAGCACGACGTACTTACTAGTGATCTCGTGAGAATGTGCGACCGAGAGTCTTCAGCTGTTGTAAAACTAATCAGGTCAGTATTTATGTCGAAGACATACAGAACTATTTTGTCTGAGGATTTAGTTACCGCTACAACTTATCATAAATAAACTCCTGGATTCACGCTATCAGTAGAACAAATTTTTGATAACATAAAATTTGTTCCCTTAATTAATCGACGGACCCAGCCAAAAAGTATTCTGACACAAATCTCTTGTTGAGTCCCTCGAAGTCACAAAGGCTAGATGAAAATATCTGATGCTATTGTCTCCCAACAACAAGACAAGAGTTAATCAGTTTATGCTGGTCCATCAACACAGTGATCAAATTGGACCCAGCAAACTGTTGTGCGCCAGTTGCCATGTTTGCGTTGCATAAACATTTGCGTTATTACTTTGGCAATCGTTATTATATGTATTATCGACAATGCTCGCAAAAGTAAGCAAACCTACTCTTACATAATCTTCAGAGCGAAAACGGGCATAATGCTACTAAATATGGGTGGACCGGAAACTACAAAGGAAGTACAGAATTTTTTAACACGTCTATTCTCTGACAAAGAAATTATCCGTATGCCGTTCCAAGAGTATTTAAGAATATTTCGTTACAATCTAGTCTTCTAGCTCGTTTTGTAGCATGGAAAAGGTCACCTAAGATCGAGGAACAGTATTCTCGAATCGGTGGTGGGTCTCCAATTCTCTATTGGACCAGAGTACAAGGTGAAATGATGGTAAAACACTTAGACGCTATTAGCCCAGAAACAGGTAGAGCGAAGTTCACAAATTTTTACGGTCTCTTTGACTAGCTCCTCATAGATTCTACGTTGCATTTCGTTATGTCCATCCTCTTGTGGAATCTTGTGTTAATGAAATGGAAAGGTATTTTTATTCGACTTATTTTACTCCACTGTAGAGACGGTGTAGAGCGTGTTGTTGCTTTTAGTCAGTATCCACAGTACAGCTGTGCTACTTCGGGAAGCAGTTTAAATGCCATTGTTCGTCATTACGAAAGTGAAGAAAAAACTTTCAATGGTGTTGAAAGTATTGAGCTTCCTTCTGTACAGAACAAAAGCCCTGGACCAATCTGGTCCTTTATTGACAGATGGCCTGTTTTCCCCCCGTTGGTTAACAGTTTTGCCAATAAAATTCTTGGCGAGCTCCAGAGTATTAATGATGAAACAGAGCGTGCGAATACCGTCCTAATTTTCAGTGCACATTCGGTTCCACTATCTGTCGTCAATCGTGGTGATCCTTATCCTCAGGTGGGTTTAAGACATTTATGGAGTGTAGACGCTTAGCATTGTATACTCACAGAACAGTAAAAGACCCCACCACTTTGACTTTATTGTATTTGTAACGTACTTCGTCCAAAAATAAGCCCACACAACTTAGAATATTTTGCTTACAGTATGAAAATTTGCATTATTCATCTGACCTATCACTATTCAGTTCATTTTTAACCTACGGATCATATCATAAAGTCAGTTTCTGTCTTAGATTAAATTATCAAGTAGCGTTAACTGTTATACACGTAAAAACATCCGGTTATGTTGATTTACACAAACATACAATAAAAATTTTCCCATTTTCAAACACCAAGCGGAACTTCCAATTAATCTGAAGTCTTAGAATTCTCTTAACATCTATAATTTGCATCTACTTGGAACCTCAACTCTTATCAAATTTACTATGTGGAGGCAACGGACGATTAAAATCCGAAACCGCTTTTTAAGTCCTCATGTTTAACTTAACGATGACAATAAGCTAAAGGTCTTGAAGAATCTAATAGCCACGTAGCTCATATTGTTTTTTGAAAAACTAGAACATATTCGTATGTTTCTAACAAATAATTGGGTTTTGAGAGCCTGGTAGCACCACCATCCATCACAAAAAGTGTCTTAAAGCCGAGTATTCAAACTCTTAATGAGCAAGTCATAATAAATTAATTACTGGTTATCTGTTTAATCCAACCATTTTCATTACTACCTACATAGCTCTCTAGATTTATGTCATTAAGTCGGTAAAATTTATGAGCTTTTAAAAGTAGAAAAGTCAAATTGGAAATGACATCCCTTTGTTTGATTCTGGTTTTTTTGTTCAGTTAAGTGAAACTTGAAAGGTCCATATCTATATCTATTTAAAGTGGTTGATTTCAGGATATTACGTGTTTTTGGATTTCATTTGTTAACTACTTCCAGGAAGTAGGTGCCACTGTTCACGCAATCATGAAACAACTCAATTTCTCATGGCCTTATCGTCTTACTTGGCAGTCTAAAGTTGGTCCAGCTGCTTGGTTAGGTCCATCAACAGTAGACACCCTATATGGGTTGAGTCGTTTGGGATATCGACACGCACTATTAATTCCTGTTGCATTCACTCTAGATCATATTGAAACCCTGTATGAAATGGACATAGAATATTGCTCTGAAATAGCAGCTAAAGCCGGTATGGTTTCTGTACGCAGATCACAATCACTGAATGGTGACCCTGCGTTCAGTCAAGTAAGTGGTATTGTTTAGTGTTCGAGCAAAAGATTGACAATTGTCGTTTTTTCAGTCTCATCTTGTAAGGGTCAAAGTGGATGAGAAGCTACCCCCAGAATTCAATGTAATGTAAACTTTTTGTAAGCCTCGATTATCGTAAAGAACATAACCATTCATAACTGGGTAGATTGTATAATTTCTATGAACTATCTGTTTGAGTCACTACGTAACAACTAACGTGTGTAATGTTAAAATTATCATCGTCCATCTCCAATAACAGTTGATTACAGCATTCAGAATGTTTTGCATTGTTGTAACAACATAAGTTCTTACCTCACTTTAATAGTTTAACTCTAGCAGAAAGAACAGGGAGATTATCCAGGCGTTGGTCAACACAAATAGTTTTGTCTTCCTATGGAGAAAAATACAGTATAATTAACATTTCCAAGTGAGAAAAGGTAAATTGCACTCATACATTCATCTAAACCAAGTTAAACCAACTCTATCCGTTATATCTCGACAACTGGAAGTGTATACGTGGGTGTTAAAAATATAACAAATGATGTGAAGCCTCTTGTGAATTATGGTGGTATCACTGAAATATCTTGCTTTGAACAATTTTATGAGCTACTGTAAAGGTTGTCTCTGTATAAGCTTTGTTTCGCAGCTTCAGTGAGAACAACGGTATTTACTAGATTGCAAATATCCAGTTATCAGTTCGAAAATCGGACATGCATCTCTTATGTTTCACTTCTCACAGAAAAGTAATAAAATGATGTCTTTTTTCTTTAAAATAAAGAAGGCAAACAACATTGTTTTTTCTACGATATTTACATTGTAAAACTTTCAGTTTACTTCCGACTTAAGAATTTGGAATGGGATTATGTTATAGGGTTTTTATCTACTTTTGTCTTTGGATCCTGTTTCATTTTTAATGTGTTCATATTGGTAAATATTAAGCATTCTGTTACCATAGTCATGTGTTTGTAGGAATTAAATATTAATTTTACCTGAGATAATTTTTGTTATTTCAGGGCCTAGCCGAATTAGTCCTAGATCACCTTCGTCGGGGTGATCCATGCTCGAAACAGTTCATGCTTCGCTGTCCGATGTGTACTAACCCATCTTGTGAACGTACCAGAAAGTTCATTATGGCCCAAAAAGAACGAGTACATGGATGGACAACTCTGCACTTGCCGAACAGTGAGCGTGTACGCTTATGTAGATATAACTAAAGACTGAAACCATTTTTAATTGTTTCTAAATAAAAATTTTCTGTTTCGAATCTTTTGATTCTTAGCTACTACTTTTAATAATTAGGATCCTAGTAACTATTTACTTTACATGAACTATGCTCCTCATACGACTGTCACATTTCAAATATAAAACATTGTAGATAAAATTTCTCAGTCCACAGTCTAATTCTTCTCTACAAAATCAACTATCTTTCATTTGTATTCTTGTGATCTAATGAAATGGTGTTTTTCATTGATCCCGTGGTCTGTACACTTTCACCCAACGGTGTTTTAGACTATTAGGAATATAAGGTCTTTTTCCAACCCAAAAATATATTTATCGATATCTAAATCATTTAGGTTTTGAATTGCATTTCATCCTGCCCACTTTTCTATGAGGTTCCATGTCATGCGAATCGCTCACACAATATACGAAAATGTAATTGGCTGTTAAGTCCCATCCATTGTGCGCCATATCTTGGAATGCTTATTGCATCAGATTTTTATTATCCAGAAAAGTAGAAGTCTCATAGGTCGGTATATGTTGAAATCCTCTTTCAAATTAAGTTACACAGGCATTCTTTTTTGTTTTTGTTGAGAAAAAACGTTGGTAGAATAGTGGCTAAGAATTGCTTACCATGCGTTTCCTGTATACTGATATGAGGTAGTGCAATTGTGTTCTAATTGGAGAAATTGAATGGCTCAGTGTATTGGTTCAGATCACCACACTCAAAATTCTGCAGGAAATATTAAAATAAAAGTACTATCAATACAAAAAGTGGAGCATGTTGACCATTTTATGTACTACAGTATCTGATGTGTGCAATTTCCTCAATGCCGTCAGTAACTAGGTAGTTATAAAGTACTGGCATCTCTCGATTTACGTTTGATAAGTGACCAATAAACATAGATGATGGGAAACTATAAGTATTCTGGTATTGGTACTTTGTCGGTTCCACGTACTTATTGAGGTCAATTAAAAATAGACTTGGGATAAACTAGCTGGTCGCGTCATGAAATTGTTATTGGCATGAAATCGTGTTCGATGTTTTGAATATTCAAAAATTGTTGCGATAAAATATCAGGAATTGTTAACTAAACATTTTTCCATGAAGCACCTAAGGTTGACTACACTAAATGTTATAACGGGGAATATATTTTAACCAAGCGTTAACTATTCACTATCGCCCAATTCACATTTACAATGTAGTCGGAAGATACACCACAATTCCTCCCTAAAAAGCTCTGAGCTCAGTAGACTCAATGTTAATATCCGATTAATGCGATACTTATGTACAAGATATGAAATAAAGTTTGCACAAATCGAATTTCATTCACATCCAGATCATTTGCAGGCCAACTGTCTTTGTGGATCACATAGAATTTTGGTCATGACCTTTATATTTCGGAGTGCGGTTTTTATTAAACACGAGAACACTGACGGTACTTATATAAATAATTATTTACTGTAGAGTTTTATATTCTGATTAAAAATGATAGTAAGTCAACACAATTGTCAAGACAATGTATTTTTTTGAACAGGTTCTTTTTTATATGGTTTTGACTGAAAGCTCATTGGAGCAATGACTTCTTTGTGGGTGTACAGTGTTGAGAAGCCCCAATCATAGACTGTTTCCTGTCTTTTGGTGGTTCTCCTGTCAGTCATAATCAGCGTAGAACCTAGTACAAATGTTCATTAACCGAAGTTGCTATACCACCATTAGCACAATGAAATGAAATTGACAAAATGGATGGCAAAGAACTCAAAACAATGATAATGAAAAAGACTAAGCTTTAAGAATATAATCCAAACAGACAATAAGAAGGTATGTATGAATGAGTGGTCGAACCATAGATCTAGAGTAAGAATTAATTGTATCTGAGACATTGTAAATTATTTGAAATCATGGCTTTCAACCCCACACTTATTATATGAAATTCAACCAGGTGGTCGTTGCCTGTCAACATAAATCAGATCAACAGCCCATGGATTGGTCCCACATTTTCTTTGGCCTCTTCTAGCTTTCTTTCGACCCACATCTACACCATTATTAATTAGAAATATGTGATACATCTCCCAAGCACCTCATTTAATCAAGAATTACAACCAGTTAGTTGTTCTCGCCAAGAATCGTGCGCCTAACTTCAACGTTCTCTTTTCGGTCGTTCCATGATAGGTGAGAGATGTTTCAAAGATCCTTATAGTTCTCCAGCTGTCATCAATTCATGATGGAAATCGCATGTCAGCTGTATGAAATCTGTATATGCCCATCTCTATAAGTATGAATATTTTGTATTCATTTAGATAAGAGATATCCGCAACTATGAAATATAGATATTGTCAGTGAATAGTCACTCTTCTTCAACTGAAACCGCTCCCACCTTGTACGTAAATGTGTAAGTAATCCACCGACTTAACTAATAAACGTGTAAAATATATTCTACTGTAATAGTGAATCAGTTTTTAACTAATATAGAATAGTGGACTGTTTAAACTACCTCTATGGAGGTATATTCAGCTGACGAGTCCAAAGTAGGACGGAACGTGCATCGTGGATCCCACTGCTAGCCATCATTCATCTCTGCTTATATCTACATGAAATTATTAAATTGGATTATGTGGTGTAAAAACCAAACTTGATATAATTGTTGTAAACTACTATGATGTATTCAGTCTGAATGCTTGATTTCGAATTCTAAATACAGTATATTCGTTTGTGGTTATCTAGTACTTCTTGATCCGATTACGTTATTTCTGGGATTCTTAGTTCATACTATAATTCAAATACTTCTAATTATCACAGATAAATAGCAACAATGCTGAATCTAGAGTAAGATATACTAACATGAGCACTCATGGATTCAATGAAGGTAATTCAGACACTTTCATTCACATCAAGAAATGTCTAACATGTACTAACCCTACTCATGAGTTGTACATATTTGTAGTAGCATTTTCAAGAAAATTACTCACCTTTGAGAAACAATAATGACGTTAGTTAACGTGTAGAAATTCTGTCTAACTAATATATAACATTTATCAGTGTTTACAATCTCATTTATGCCAGTAAACTTCTTGAATATTTAAATCTACTACTGGAAGTCCCATTGCCGGAAATTACTACTAACATAGTATATTTTCATATAACCAGTACGCCTCACACCCACCTACACACAATGTCGTCCCACACTGTATAACACTAACAAGTGTTTGGAAGATTTATTTACAAGCATTAGAAATACTGAGGAAGTCAGAAAGCAAAAATAATGAATACCTGTAAGCTGTTATATATATATATATATATATATATATATATATATATATATATATATATATATATAAAGTTTTATGCTGGTTTGTGATCACAATAGAGAAAGGTATTTGGATTTATAATAAAAACAGAAAATGTGGAAGCGATACTGAATGAATGAATTAGAGGAGAGAAATAGAAATGCAGTTTGTCCATTCGCTATCAAGGTGGTCTAATTTTTTGCTCCTCTCAACTGCTTTCATCATTATAAACATAATATGTACATATAGGTAGTTATTGATTTGTGATAAATTATTATCTTAAACTTTATTAACAGTTCTATGCTGGGAATGATGACTTAAATAATACGATTGATCTCTTCCAAAAGGAATGTTTTGATGTGGATTCTATGTGGGGATATTTTGTTTTATTCTGTACGACATACAGAACATGTTAAACCACCACAACATAATGATAAGTCATCATCTACACATAAATAAACACAAACATGCACACAGTGAAGTTATTTGATAAATCAACATTGACTAATTCTTCCATCTATCATAGGTTTCATTTCAATCAAGTTTCCAAGAGAAAGAATTTCGTTACATTCTACACATGCATCAGTTCTTCTTATTTTAACTTATGATTAGTTTACAAATGAACATTATAGATGTTCATAATAAAATGATAATTAAAGGATTTACTTATGATTTAAGTCAAAGATTATTACTGTCTATCTGTTGAATTATATTGACGTTGATACTGTTGTTGGTGATGACTATTATTGTAATCATTGAAATGGTACTGATTATTATAATTGGTAAGAAATGACTGTTTATTATAAGTAGTATTAATAATATTAGGATTTGTGGAATTACAATTTGTAATAACTCTGTTATAATGAGGATAATTATTTACATTTATACATGATTTCCATTTAGATAACATAATGGATGATAAATTTGATGTATTTAATTGATGATGAATTCCACGAATTATTGATGGTTGTTCATCGAATTTCTGTAAAATAATATTATTAATATTTGTACGATTTGGTGATAAATCAGATGAACTTGATGACCAATGATTTGGTGATTCACTTTCATCGGAACCCATTATATTTGAATTGGTTATAATATGATTAGTATGAGTATTATTATTATTGTTATTATTAAAATTATAATCAATTTTCAATAATGAATCCTTGAATATTTCAACTTGAACATCATTACTACTATTATTATTGTTTGTGTTATTAGTAAATGATTCAAAATTGTCTGGCTTATTTAATGTTTGATGAGTTTTAATAGAATTTAATACTGTGTTATCAATATAGTCATTATTATTCGTATTAGTATTCATCAGAGCAAGAGATGGAGGTGTACGCTTACTATTGTTATTATTACCATTATTATTGTTAGTAGTAGTGGTATCATTAGTAGTAATGAGTTTTGTAGTTGATTCACTCACCACTGAGTATTGTGATGCCGACAACGAGTCATATTTATTGTTAAACACTAGTGACGATGATGTAGCTACTGTTGTTGTCAACCCATATGTCTCGATAAATGTTGGTGCTGTTGTCGTCGTAGCAACTCCAATAGTACTAACAGTTGTTGTCATAATGCAATGGATACTTCGATTCTTTGAACACTTTTTCTCAGTCATGTTTTTCACAGCTGATTTCATCGTTGAATAATGCTGGGATGCTGGATTCCCAGTTGATAGTTTATGAGTAATAGACTCCGTATCATAATAGGTCAATTGATGCTGACTGTTGTTATATAATTTGGAAGTTGGAAAATATGAACAATACGATTGCTCCACTGATGTTATTCTTGGCAGTGTAGATAATGTATTTATGTCTGTTGCTTCTGTTGTCAATGTTTTCGAAGTGAATAAATCATGCTTTTTAGTTAATTTGTTTGGATTTCCACTTGTACAATACTCAGTATTTGAATTGGCGGTATATTCATCTAATAAATTAACAATCTCATAATGTCCACCTAAATAAGCTAAATCTCTCGGTGTACGGTCTAAATAATCGGCTAAATTTAAATTAGCTCCAGTTAGCAACAATAAACGACAACTTTTCATAGCACCTTCTCTACATGCCAATGCTAATGGAGTTTCTTCATGTAATGTTTGTGCGTCTACAGTTGCACCAGAATTACACAAACTATGAATGATATCCGATTGATCTGTTACAGCTGCCCAGTGTAACGCTGTACGTCCTAAACTATCTGAAGTGTTAATATCAAGAAAATTTAGAGTATTCTCTTCGTAGTTAAGTTCTACGCCACCACTGACTGTTGGTGTAGTGATCACTGTTGGTGGAGATGATGATGCTACTGCTCCAGTTGATAATGATGATGATGTAGATTGAATATGAAGTAAATCCGTCGATGTTCCAACTATATCATAACTTGTATATTCTTGACCACGTGAAATATTAGTCTTTGTCAATGCACAAACTAATACATTCATTGCATGTAATAGCATATTGAATATGTCTGTGTAATAGACAAATGAAAAAAGGTTTAACAAAAGGACACAACTTAATATCTTGTATTTCATGAATTATATACATCTATATGCAAAAATATTCTTTAAAAAGTCCCTAGTCAAGTCTCCATCATTCAGTAACAATGAATTACTTTTTCTTAAAGTGCAATCAAGTTACAGTTAAATAGTAAATATTAATAAAGTACAGTGGTCAAGTTACATTACAATGTTAATGGAAGTCGACTTATCTATCATACAGTATAATAATTATCCTTAGGCACAAGTCTGTGTATGGTATTCAATGTGACTTTTGTGAAAGTAAGATATGGAGATGAGGTCTTGACAAGTGGGTTTTTCAGTCCTGACGAATAAATATTAATTAAAGAACTATTGAAAATTAGGAAACATTAAAAAGCAATTCCTTCTCAGTTGTTTGTGACTTCAAAAAACTTCAGGACTATGAAACTAAAAACGAGATGTAAATCGTGATCTTCAACTCTGGAGGAGAGTAAGATTCACACTTTAACCACTGAATCAGAAATTCAGTAGTTTGCACTCTCCGTGAGGAGTGACATTTAATTGTAACTCCGATCTCAGTTCATTCATAATAAAGAACAATTATTATCCAATATCAGTGTGTTGTTATCTGATTCCTATGTTGTTTCACTCTAAGTTTCATGACTTTCAATGACTTTACGGTTGTGACATCAATTTCTAGTGAGAATTACTTTGAAATATTCGATTTGTAAGATAGTTGATAATAACTTCAATCATTGACGTCCTTCATTAAATTGACCAATAATTACCTACTTACTTACTCTTGTTAGTCCTCGTGGAGAAGTACAGGTCAACCACCAGCGTTCGACATCCAACCCTGTCCTGGGTACTCCTTTAGAGTTGCTATTCATCATTTTCATGTCTGATTCCAAATCTCTGTGCAGTGTGTACATCGGCACTCCTCTTCTCCGTTTTCCTCCAGGATTCCAAGTTACCGCTTGCCTAGTGATGCAGTTTGACGATTTCTTCAATTTATGTCATGTCCACTCCCAATGTATTTTCATAATTTCCTACTCAGCTCGAAGCTGGTTTGTTCTCTTTTACAGTAGGCCGTTGCTGGTTGTATCCGGTCAATGGATATTGAGTATATTGAGTAGACAACTGTTTCTAAATACTTGTGCCTCTTTGATGATGATTGTAGTAGTTCTGCAAGTTTCAGCTTCGTACAGTAGGACTGTGTTGACGTTCGTATTGAAGATTGTGACTTTGATATTGGTTGATAGTTGTTTTGGGTTCCATATGACATTCAACTGTAGGAGTGCTGTTGTTGCTTCGCCAATCCTTACAATTGCGTCTTCATCGGATCCTTCTTGTTCATCGATGATGCCGACCAGGTACGTAGTGCTTTTGCATCTCTTCCAGATCTTCTCCATCAAGTGTGATTGTGTTGGTGTTCTCCATGTTGTGTTTGAGGATCTTGCTTTTCCCTTGTGCACGTTGAGGCCTACTGCTGCAGACAGAGGTTGCCGCTATACTGGCTGTCTTCACTTGCGTTTATCGGTGTGTGTGGGGTAGAAGTTCTAGGTCATCTGAGAAGTCCAAATCGTCTAGTTGCATCCAAGGTGTCGATTGTATTCCGTCCTTCCTCTCAGATGTGAAGGTCTTCATTATCCAGTCGGCCATCAGAAGAAAGAGAAAGGAGGAGAGTAAGCAGCCTTGTCTGACTCCAGTCCTCACTTGGAATGCATCCACCAGCTGTCCTCCATGCACGACTTTTCAGTGTAGTCCGTCGTGTGAATTCCGGATGATGTTGCTAATCTCAGGCACACCACAGTGTTGAGGAGGGTTCCATTATGTTCTTCTATCCACGCTGTCAAACGCCTTCTCATAGTCAATGAAGTTGATGTGTAGTGACGAGTCCACTCAACTGATTGTTCAATGATGATATGTAGCTTCGCGATTTGGTCTGTGCATGACCGATCTTTATGGAATTCGGCTTATTGATCTCGAAGTTAATCGTCTACTGAGACTTTCATCCAGCTCAGAGATACTCTGTTTAAAACGCACCCTGGTACCGATAGTAGTGTGATTCCTCTGTAGTTCAAACATTTTCTCAGATCTCCTTTCTTTGGTATCTTGATCGAGTGTCCCTTTTTTTCCAGTCCGTCGGTGGCACTTGTTCTTTCTACCAAATCCTCCTGAATAGAACATGAAGCATACTTGCAGTTACTTCTGTCTGACTTCAGTGCTTCGGCTAGTATATTGTCGGGTCCTACTACTTCCCCACTCTTGATTTGTCTGATGGCCATCCTGATTTCTTCCATTGTTGGTGGAGTGATATCTATAGAAAGGTCTGTGTGTACTACTTCGATGTCCGGTAGATTTAATGGAGCATGTCTATTCAGTAGTTTTTCGAAGTGTTCCACCCATCTGTTCCTCTGTTCTTGAATCTCAGTGATTGTCTTTCCCTCGTTGTCATTGACCGGTCACTCTAGTTTACTATATTTCCTTGCAAGTTTCTTCATTGTGTCATATAGTTGTTTGATATTTCCTTCTCTTACAGCTTTGTCCTCTGTCGTTGCTATATCTTCCACGCATTTGTGCTTGCCAGTTATAATACTCTTGTTTACTTGCTTGTTTGCTTCTGTATGTTCAGCTTGTGACTTGACTTCTTCCTTTCTTGTTCGGCTGTTGTTAAATGCTGTCTTCTTGTTCTTCCCTTCTTTGATCCTGTCCAGTGTTTTTATAGAAATCCATTCCTTATGATGATGCTTGTTGAGGTATAGAACCTCCTAATACATTGAAATTAGTTCTTCTTTAATCCCTTTCCAATTGTCCTCCATAATAGTTTCTTCTTCTTTGTGTAGATCCTGTAAGGCTCGGAACCTGTTGTTGAGAACTATCTCGAATTCGTTGGATTTGCCAGCATGTTGAAGAAAAGCTGTACTAAACTTTTGTAATGCTGTTCCTCCAGTTGTTCAGTGCTCCTTTAGATTCAGTATCATCTTTGCAACCACCAGGTGGTGGTTCGAAGCTATGTCAGCTCCTCCCCTGGTTCTAAATTATCCCATTAACCTTCTAAATTTTTTAGCAATGGAAGTATGACCGATCTGGTTCTATGTAGTGTAATCCGATGAGAACCACGTAGCTTTGTGTGTACGCTTGCGGGGGAATACTGTGCCGCCTATAACCATTTTGCCAAATCCACATAAATTTGCGAATCTCTTACCATTCTCGTTTCTTTCTGCAAGTCAGTTCATGTTGTCCCATGACATCTTCCTACCCGGTGTTATCCTACTTTAGCGTTTAGGTAACCCACCAGAATGGTCATGTTCTATCCTGAACACTTCACCATGATTGATTACAACCTCTCGTAAAAATGGTCTTCATCATCGTCGTTGCTATTACTGGTTGGCGCATAACACTGGACAACATTCAACATGATTCTTCTTCATTGTTTTGAAGGATGCTTTGAGGATTTTTGGATCCATGAGATTCCCATCCTATGGGTGCTTTTCGTGCTTGGTTGGACAGCATCAGAACCATACCCTGAGTTTGTGGAGCATTTTCTTCTTCTTGACCAGAGTATAGCAACATCTCTCCCGAATTTAATATTTTCTGTCTAGCTTGAGTTCAATCGGTTTCACTGATTCAAGAACCGAACATGTTGTGTATCCTCATTTCCGTTGCTATTTGATCAGTCCTCCCGGTCTCCTACATTTTTCGAACATTCCATGTACCCATATTAATTGTTGCTCTCGTTGTTAGAAGGGGCATTGGTCTCGTGACTTCCGAATAATCTCAGCTTTCACCGTGTCATAATTCTCTTGAATGAAGATTCTTCA